AAGGCTTTACTGAGAAATATGGATTCAGGTAGACGGAGAATCCATTGTCTTTTGTTCGATGAGTTGCAGCCCAACCGGTTAGTATGCCAACTCAGCAAAATACCTATATCTCCGAAAATAATTTGAATTTTGAAAAATCCTCTCGTAGACACATTCTTAAATAGTTAAACTTTGAAAATATGAAAAAAAAAAAATCGATTTTTTCTTATTTCTAGACCAGAATACCCCCTTAAATGAAAAGAGGAAACGTATTTGTTTGATTTTGTTCGAAAGTATATTATTATTTCCATTTTATCATAATCATCATCACCATCATCGTAATCATTACAAATATATTCTTAAAATCGTATAATTCGTAAATAAATACTCGAAGTGTTTGAAATTCTGCGATCAATATTTTAGTAGAATAAATAATTTATTACATATCTACAAGTACAACGAATACAATTTCTGAATTTAATGGACGTATTTTGCATGATTTTTAGTTAATATGTTTTTTAAAATATTTCATCGATGTATGAGTTTATGCATTTGAACCTATATTTAAAGCAATTTAAATAAGCGTCAAAAACAAAACGAAATTACTATTAATATGATATACAGGAACTTCATTTGACAAAAAAAAACAACTACATCAGCTTCAGCTTCGATTTGGCTATAAATTTTTTAAAGAAAAAATGTAGCCTCGTTACAAGCATACATAAAAGAAGCATTATATATGTTAATATATATATATATCAGTTCATGTCGTACGAGTAAATATTTCCTCTAATAATATGATAAATATTTAAAAAACAAAAATGAGAAGAAATATTCAATACTTTGTCTGACATAAAAATAATATTTTTAAAATCTACGATATACTGATCCACGTAAAAACAAGGATCAGATAATAAGTACATGTAAAATGATTTATAAATATAAAAAAAAAAAAAATGAAAAAAATACTTTTACTTTCATCACACAAAAGTTCATCGACAACTGCATTATCAAAGTATCGGCGAATATACTTAAAGTAATATCTTTTTTTTTCTTTTTCTCCAACCATACTCAGTATATATCACTTAAAAATGTGGACGCGTAAAAAAACTACATTGTATATAATATTTAACCCTTTAGTTCCTAGTGACTCATATACGAGTCATCAGTCCCCGACCCATATAAGGGGTCGTAAAATGTAACGATAGAAAATTGATATGGAACGATACTCGTGTCGGTATACATGTCGTAACAAAAGGGTTAATATTTAGAGAATCTTTCGAAAAAATATCTAATATCGACATAGAGAGAGTGAGAGAGAGAGAGAGAGAGAGAGAGAGAGAGAGAGAAAGAAAGAGAGTAATAAAAAGATCACTTTTACGTAATAAGATTCATTTCCTCTGTCGGTGTATGACTTTTTCCAGTTCTCATGAGAATCTTTTCCGATCTATTGTCCAACGAATTGTCCTTACTATCTTCGCTGCCAGGCCTACTGGGTATCATCTCGAATTCGTTCGAATTCGTTTCAGATTGTAATTCGAGTAACGCTAAATCATCAACCTCTCTCAAATGATCCATTCTGTTATCCAAACTATTGATTTTATTAGCTTCGTTACCATTCTTACTTTCCGAAATTTCAATTAGACGCGTTCTATCCTTTTGTTCTTCTAATTTGTTTACATTTTTAGAATCAAACGAACTCGTTGTCCTAATCAAACTTAATTCAACGCTCTTATTGTCACCATTGTTTCTATAAGATTTTCCAAAACTCTTGAAACTTTCCTTCTCCTGTTTGCGTCCTTCGAAAAGTGGCTCATTTCTTTTGTAATTTTCGACATTCCTAGATTCGATTACTTTTTCGTCGTTTTCGGGTGAATTGGTCAGTCTTTCGGAAGCATTGTCATTTCTTTCATCCTTTTCCTTTTTTAGAGCAGCCAATTCAGCTTCCTTCATAGCTGAATGAATAACTGGTTCCGCCCAAAGACCAGGATTGAAAGATGGTCCTGTACCACCTAATTCGGCAGGTAAAATATCCGTTGGCAAGTGTTCGTGGAGTGTACTGAGATTATTTCCGTGTAAATATATCTGGAATAATATTGAATTCATTGAAATGTTCAAACTTATTAACGAAATTAAATGAAATTTTGTTTAATGGCAAATGTATTATACGTAAAACTTACTTTATTACGAGTTTTTTCATCCAAGAAAGGTTTAACAAGAGCCAGAGTTGCTTGAACATATAAAGGAGCTGAAAGGAAGTGTATGGCCTTGAATCTAGCCGGAAATCGACCACGAAGCGCAGCTATTAAGTTTCGTAGAGCTGCTGCACCTAATGCACCGCCTTGCCTAAGTGAAAATCCACTCCAATCTACTACAGCTACGAAACCGGAGTGCTGTAAATATCAAATAAAAGATAAGCGTATTTAAATTATCCACATTATTTACTTAATAGCCCAGTCAATAAGAGGTGAAGGAAAAACTTTCAGGTAGAAGTTCTCGACAGTTTGATAMAAAGGTAATTCGACGTCGCTGAATCGAATGGTGCTAATTTTTTTGCAATATGATGTGGCTGTAACGAGAAAAAGGGTAAAAATGGCCGTATCTTAGAATCTAGGCATTTAATCGAA